AATTTGCAGTCAAAAATCTTAATAACTTTTTTCTGAAGACGCGCGTTATTCTAAAAAAAAAAATACAAAAGATGCAAAATAAGGAGTTCGAAATCGTAAAATAGCTATTTGTGTATTAAGATCAAAAAGTGATACTTCGCCGTTGGAGCACGGCAATCTGTCGAAAGTGGCAACGAACTTATTGCTCAAAATGAACACAAGATTTTTTTCTACGATCACATTATTTTATGAAATAGATATAAAACTGAAAATTTGTCGTAAGTAGTGTATAATGTGTTGCGTATATCTACATCAAAGTCAATGTTAACTTGGATAATAAAACAAAAACATCACACTATGTACAAATAACTTGCAAGTCATTTATTAAAAAGATATATTTTATTATGGGCCCGTTTTTTCACCTCTGAGTAAAGTTGAAAGTAACTACTTGCAGATTAAACTATAGGGTTATCATTTGTTAATCTGTCAAGTAAACCTACATGTAACTTTACTCAGAGGTAAAAAGATCGGCCCTAAATCTAATTTAAATTAGGCGACCAACAAATCTGTCAAGTTTTTCGCTCGGCGAACGACAAAGCTGTCAATGTCATTTCGCGGAAAACGTCAACTTTGCGGTTGTATTTCGAAGCGCAAAAGCCTACTTTGGATAGTGATCGTAGAAAATGAGCTATTTTTGTATTAAGAGCGAAAAATGCCGAAAGCCGCAACGAAGTTTTTGCTCAAAATGCTCAAAAGTTTTTTCTACAATAACAGTATTTTAAGAAATAGATATAAAAACTGAACATTTGTCGTAGGTAGTGTATAATGTGTTGTCTATATCTACGTTAATCTTGAAAAACTACGTACACATAATATAAAAATAATTTATCAAAAAGAAATATTATATTAGGCATTCCAACCTGTCAAAATGTTGCCAGTGGGAACTGACAGTTTAGATATGGCAACCCTGTGGGCCTGTTGTCATTGACAGGGTCAATGATACATTTATATAGATTGCTCAAAGCGGGTCGTTTGCGAGCGGCCATATTGTCTGGCAAGTGTTCATTAATTTGAATCAGTTTAACAAAAATGTGTTTTAAAGCCCATTTCCGGCCTTTGAATATTTAAAAAAAAAATAATTGTATACATTTTAACTTCAAAAGGCTCTTATGCTTATTTTTAAAAACATGGTTGATCAATCTATATAACTGTCTGTATCACTGACCCTATCAAACCACCAGACACACAGTGTTGCCATATTATAACCTATCATGTGCTTGTCATTTTAAACGGACAAATTATCAAATTTAAATTAAGCGAGCTAAGCGAGCAACAAACTTGTTAATTTTTCCGCTTAATGTCAGTTCGCGAAAAACTTCAGCTTTGCGATTGTACTTCGAAGCGCAAAGCCTACTTTGGATAGGTAGTGATCGTAGAAAAAATATCTATCTCATTCGTGTAAAAACATTTAAGTGCATAAAACAAATAATTTTACAAAACTGCGAATTTATTTTTGCAAGATATAACTAAGTATTAACAAACAAAATGCATTACTTTCAGGGAACTAATCATATCATAAACTGCATGATTATGTTTGGCAACAACGCGTAGCACCGGTAAATACTACCATCTGATAGAGAATGTTCGTGTACACAAATCTCCCGAAAATAGTTCCAGTCCAGAACAACAATCAGAAATTCGCGCGGGTTACTATTCTGGCAAATTTTATAAACGTTCTTTGTGTTGACAATTTGTTAATATTGTTTAGTTTCAGCGGTTTTAACTATTAGTTTTTAGTGCTAGTGTTTGGTTATTTTTAATTTACTGACCCTATGGTGACGCTCGCAGGAATTCCGCAAGTACAAGAATCCTTTATAGGCATTTCGTTTGTCTATATCTACTTGCATTTACCGGTAAGCAAAATTTTAAATAACCTATTGCATTTTACTATTTTGGATAAGTACCTACCTATCTACCATATCTCAATTATTGTTAATAGGTATTCATAAAAAAGTTAAAAGTTAAACATTAAAGTTTTGTAAACAATCGACTAATACCTATCATCTATTAAACACCCATTTAAACGTAAACAGCGTAACATTTTATTCCCTAATTAAATAAATTTAATATCTGCTTTTGTAGCTATTGAAAGAAAAAACAACTTTTTTCTTAAATAATCGAGCTGCAACCTAAAAACTTATCAGTTTCCTTTTTGCTACTTTGCAAATGTAACAGCTCGGCACCGGCGGTGTTGCCAAACGTTGCAATTTCACGCATTTGTAAATACGGATGAAGACATTTGAGGAATTAAAAAAAATTATCGCAATAATGTTTTTGGACTTACTTAGGCATTTGTTACTACCCACAGTTTAAATTACGGCACTCTTATCAATTACTTATAACTTCTTTGTTTGAAGATATGGTGTTTTATAAATTTTTTTGACAAAAATAAATTGTTTTTACTAGTACTAAAAAAAACGATGATTCCATGGAAAATGCAAATAATTTATGTAAAAAACTAAAATAATTTTAGAAATAGAAATATGACCTCACATACTTTTTTTTTATTTACACGTTTAATTCTGCATTTGAAAATTATTTCTTTTGAAACAATTTGCTTAAATCGTCGCAGCCACTTGCGAGGTTGTCAAATTTCTGGGAAACTATTGAGATTTGGCCTTTTTTGGGACTTGTTTGTTAGTATTACCTATTAACATTTTTTAAAACTTAAACCGTAGACTCTGTATTTTGGTCCTCACGTTAAAAGAACCACTAAATCGATATATACAGGGTAGTTCTAATACGCTTTTAATTTTACTCAAACCGCAAAAGTTATTAAAACCGAAATATCCTAATAACGATTTATCCAATTAGGACCAAACATGCCAGTTTAAAAATTTCATATCAGCGCTGTTATCAAGTTTACAGTTTTTCATAAAATCTAAGAAACTTTGATATTTTAAATCAATAGCCTTGTATATTTACGTGATAATTTATTATATTTTAAAAATCGATTTCAACAACCTAAAATGATTGGTATCTAATTATAATCGTTTTAGAAATATGAAACAGTAAAGAAATGTATTTTCTTACTCTTTAGTTGGCTGTGAAATATTGATATTTAGCTTTATTAATTCTTCAGCTGAGTACAAGGTTTACGTTTCGAAAATGTATTACATTGTATGTTAAACAGCATGTTCACTTGCAACTGCGCTGATGTGATATTTAGGATTGACATATTTGATAATTATGGTTTTCCAAGATGTTTTCCATTAACATACTCTGTATGTAAGGCGAAATTGAATACACTAACACTTAAATAGCCGCAATGGATGCCAAATACGGGTAAATGGACTAGGTCATTAAAATTAAAGAAGAAGAACTGTCGAAACTTAAATTTTTATACTCACGAATTTTATTATCACTGGAATAGAAATACCCTGTACATTGACATATATAGATTAATCGAATAATAAAATTAATGTACACTAACACGATATTAAGTATCTAAAACCTAGAATGTGATGCTTGTATGCTTTCGCCATTATAATATATATAATATTCTATCTACAAATTGTACAGAAATCGGCAAATGACAAAACATTCAAATAGATAATAATATGAGACCCTGCTTGACGAAGTGCATGCCATCTGCCGAGTGCATCTATGCCTCAAACGGGTATTTATTGGAAATAATGTATCATGTATTCCACGATGAAAAAACTATATACAATAATAGGTACATCAAACAAATAGGTACATATATCTACAATAAAAATAAAATTAAAACGTTGATAATTATTTCAAGTCTCTTTAGTAAGTCTACGTAAGTATTTTTGGCATAAATAATAACAGACAGTCGATATACTAAATAACATTTAATATTGAGACGAATACCATCTTCTATTCAGACCATTTTGACATGACGGTAATCTCAAACTATCAACAGTGACAAAAATGGTAGCTCCTGTAAAATTATTTATAATTTTCACTGAAATCAACTACTTTACAATTTTCATTCACAGCAAAAACTTGTATTGAGAGCTACATAACTAGTTTTCCATTTAAAACGTTTAAAAAAACTTTCAAGAATGAACATTTTTTGACTTTGGCTTCAAATATTTTATTAATAACAAAAATATTTATGGCGAAAATATTAAAACTGTAAAGCTTTAGAGAGATGATAGAATGGAAACTAAACGTGGGGGTAAAAAATCACTTATAAAACATTTCGAGACTATTGTAATCAATTTAATGACTATTTATTCTTGTCATAATTCATTAAATGGAGATAGTTCAAAGAGTTCAAAGTATCTCCAACCCTGAGTTTTTTACTGCCTAAGATTTTTTAAATATTTTGGCAACGTCGCGACATATGTCAGTAACAGAATACAAGCTTTTGCAGAGATCCGTTGGTTTTTATTGAATACATTTCAGAAGATGGAATAGAGTTTTAAGTTAAAAAAGTAATTTATTCTTACTGAATAGAAGATAGTATTGTCTCAAAGAAGTGCTTCATACAAAATCTAAGGACCATATGATACGGTGCTCGTTTTTCCGTATAAAAAAATTTCGAATATTTTCGAGTAGATCACCACCAATATTCCGTTTTTATTATCACCGTCACTGTGTCATAAGTCCTACGACAATGAATATAGTGGAAGACCAATCATTTATACAAAAAGAAAAAAAATATATAACAACTATCTAAATAGAATTTAGTAAATAAATAAAAAAAATTGTTCGTATTTCTGGTTTCTGGCCCGACAAACTGATTGAGATCCGTTATAGACTTCTCATACGAATACTGAACGTAGATGTCAAAAAAAGCGATTTATAACCTTAAATAATTCAGTATATTTTTACATTTTTGGCTTCTCTCCTATAGTACATCTACTCCCCAGGCAGGTAAAATAGTACATACCCCTTGAGTAGGATTGGGGGGGTTCATTGATATCTGTATCCATTGCACATAAACCAAGCTAATCTAGGAAATGGTCTGCAAAGAAGTGCAACGAGGGTCATTCTTGCTTGACCATCACGTTGGGATTGTAATTATGGCCGCTAGATGTCACTAGCGATAGGGGACTAGTTGCCAAACTATTGGCGATGTGAAACATGTTGCCGTTGGTGTTCCCCACAGAGCACGGGGACCCCATGGTGGATGTAGGCGGGTTTATCCTTTTCTCCTTCTGCCTCCTATTGCAAAACCATACTCTTACCACCTCTTTCTCCATACACAACCCATCTGCCAGCATGGTTATCTCTTCGGATGTCGGTTTAGGGTTCTGCATGAAAGCCTTTTCTAATGCCACTCGTACAGATGTTTCTATAGACGTCCTTTTTTTTCGCCTCCTTCCTATTGTTTCAGGGGTGGTCATGGGGTTGCTGAGGGCTCCCGGGTTGGCCAAAGTACTGTCCGCATCTTCTAGCCATTTCTGCAGAAGTGGTTTCAGTTTGCACATGTTCTTGAAGCTAAGGTTCAATGCTTCGAATCGCGATATTGTTGTTTGAGAGAAATCGTTGCCGTAGAGTTTGCCCATGGCTAGACCAACATCGCCTTGAGTAAAACCTAGAAAAAATCAAATATATACATATACCTATATAGACAATATTAAAAAAATAAACATTTTATCATTCGTTACCTACCTAATTTTATCCTCCTTTGTTTAAAAGTCTTGGCGAATTGCTCCAACTCCTCAAGGTCTGTAGTCTCTTCCGGAGATGGTTCTAATATTCTAGAAGGTGTCTTTAAGTGCTGAGGCGTTAAACCACCAGAACCGGGTGTGCTAGGCGTCAGAATACTAGCCGGTATGTTGTGGTTATTGTTAGGAGGTGTGGTCTGCGTTGTTTGATGAGGCATACCAGCATTCGGTGGGATACTGGTGTTGTGTTGGTTATTGTTATGTTGCACTTTTTGAAGCTGTTGAAGCTGTTGAGCTGCTTGCGCAATTTGCTGTACCTGTAAAGAAGAATATGGATTGTAGGAAACTGCTGAGTGGTGATTTAAAACATTTAAATGGAAGTTAAATGATATTGTTTTGTGTAAGTGAATGTACTTTTACATGTGAGATCGAACACGAAAAGGCAAAAATAGAAGTTGCAGTGACGCAAAAAAAAGAGTTTTGAACAGAAAATAGAAGCAAAGTTATTAATTTGATAGAAATTAAAGAGATTAGATATGTAGGATAAGTCTCTAGTGATGGTTTTCAAAAAGTCTGTATAAGTAGATGTGGAAATAATTTAGGAGATGGAAGAAACGTGACACAAGAGCAGAAAATAAATGATTTCAAATGGTAGAGAATGAATTATTCACAAAATTAGCGTTTTGGTAAATACTTTTCTTATTTTTCTGTGTTAAATCTCATATGTAAGGTTTTGTTTATTTGTGTTATCCAGACCAACAAGCAAAAACATTGAGACACATACAGGGTATATCGAACATTTTAATTTGCGAGGAATTCTTACAGTGTTGCATAAGATTTTGTTTTCTGAAATTTGTAAAAATATTACTCGCAAATTTCAAAATGTACGGGGGTCAATCAATCACAGAGGCGTGTTAAACATATAGACATGCTGATTTTTTTTAAAGACATGACACGACAAATGTATTTTGTTTTTGTGTTTTTTTTTTCTGAAAACACACCTGCATCGTATGATGGGGCCTTGTTGGAATACTTGAACGAGGAAATCCTTGTAGAAACCCCTTAAATCGAAAAAATATATAAATAAGCATATTCAATTTTTTTTAGACAGAATAAAAATAGTAGTTTGTGCAACAAGAGTGGATATGATAGCCATATCGCACGAAGACGAAATTTTAGTACAGCGCCGTAGGTGGAGTGCTCAATCGTCTGAGTGCGATGTGAACAATCCTCTCGAGTTGTTCAGTATATTTTTTCTACGACCCACTAACGAAAATTTACAAATAAAAAAAATATTTTAGGTTATTAAAACAAAATAACTAATTTTAAAATAGTATATGACTTTTAATAATTTTTAAAATAAAATAAACGAAAAAAAAATGTAATTTAAAAGTCCCCAGCTCGAACTTGGGTTTCTCGCGTGGAAGGCAGACACTCTCACCACCCGTCTACCGGCAGAAATAGGAAAATTTTTTAATACTCATAATTGAATTGACTTCATAAAGCTTTATTAAAATTAACAAAGTATTTATAATTATAGTATAAATAAAAATAGAAATGCTATTATTTATCGATTCTACATAAAAATAAGTCATTTTAATATATATTTAAGTTTAATAACTAAAAAATATACTGACAATTAGGTTGGCAGAATTGTCATTTATTTAAAATTTTAAAAATAATAGTCGTCGGGTGACCAAAATATGAACTGTGATTGGTGGATTTCATTTTTTTGCAGTGTTCTCACTACATAGAATGTATATAAAATATATTCGTTCAGTTAATGGCAATAGTATACTTTTTTGTTTTTTAGTCTGCGTGCGTAGATAAGCGTGTGGGCGTAGAAAAAATATTTTGTAGTTTCCATTGAGGATATTAAAACAGAACAGAAGATAAAAAATAATTTTAAATATTGTGTTATAATTTTGAATATTCTAGATACGCATTTTCTATGTCCTCAAGTTCTGTAATTTTATCGATACCATTATATCGAGAGATAACTAATATCTTATTTTAGAATCTGATAAGATTTGAAGACAAAGATGTCCTAGTTGATTTAAATGTACTGTCAACTTTTAAAAGAATACTCGTATTTTGATATTACTAAATTTTCATAGACAGCAAGATAGTAGCTCTTTAGTCCCTATTGAGTGTAAACATTTTTCTCGGTAGGTAGAAAAGTAATTCTTCTTTATTATTCCTTAGTCGTAGACATGTAAATCTTTGTATCTTCCATAGTTTTGTTATTGTTGTAATTTTAGAGCTTTTAGAACTTGGCATTTCTATTTATTAACAAATACCGTTAACAAAAACAGTCTTAATCTGTTTCCCAAAACTCTTTTTATTGTCCATTATCTTTTAGACTCCTAAGCCTAATCCACTACCAGGTTCTCGAGGAGAGCAGCACTTATTACTTCATGCGAAAATATTAGAAAGAATAAATTTGTTCATTAAATATTTCTGTAGGTACTCACTTGGTTCTGGAACAAGAATTGCGCCTGCGGATTCATCTGGTTCCCGCTGGCCTGCTGCAGCATGGCGAGCTGTTGCAGCTGCTGCAGGTTCTGCGGGCTTTGGAAGGCGGGCAAGCTGCCCAACATTTGGAGGTGGTTGCCGAAAATTCCGCCTAAACTGCCAAGAGCTGCCAAAGCAGCTCCTACCCCTGGACTCGAACTCGTTACTTGGGAATTAGGGGTTGATATCCTCTGTTGTTCGTTCGTTGGTCTTACCTGCAAGGAAAAAATTGATATTTTAATTAATAAATATAAATATCTCGGATATATAAACAGAGAAGAAGACAATTCTCTATAACAAGGGCCCCCAGTATAATTAACTAGAGAGAGTAAAGAAATGGAAGGAGGCTACAGATTAGGTGAGTAGAGAAGAATTATAATTTCAAGAAGAAAATCAGAAACAAAAATGAAAAATTACCTAAGGATCAAAAAGTGTAGAATTATTAGTCGTTTAAGGTGAATCTAAAGCTGATAATCTGTGGGGTATACGGTTAAAGCAAGAAGAAGAGAAAAAAGAAGACAAAGAAAAAGAGAAAGAAGAAGAGAAAGAAGAAGATAAAGAAGAAGAGAAAGAAGAAGAGAAAGAAGAAGAACAGGAGGAGGAGGAGGAGGAGGAGGAGGAGGAGGAGGAGGAGGAGGAGGAGGAGGAGGAGGAGGAGGAGGAGGAGGAGGAGGAGGAGGAGGAGGAGGAGGAGGAGGAGGAGGAGGAGGAGGAGAAGAAAAAAAAAACTAAGCACAAGTACTACATTATGTATAAAAAATGTAATAATCTCATCTCCCTACTCATCTTTGGTAACATCTATTTTTGTATAAAATTCGAGGCAGGCATTGAGTTGTTCAAGCAGTTGAGTCAACTACGTTGCTCAATATGGTTTTGTCATGCGCAGAAGATTACAAAATAATTATAACAAAGTAAGTGTATTGGAGTAGTTACCTATTTCTAAACATTGAAATTGGTTTAAAGTATTTTTCAAATTGTAAACCACGTATTCATATGCGTACCTATTTGGTACCTATGAGTAGACTGATATGCCTATTATGGAAATTAGATTAGTAATACATTTTAAAAATAAATTAATTGATATTGATACCTTACCGTATTAAATATTTATAACTCCTACTATCACACCTCATTATTATTGAAAATAAATGGAATTAATAAAAAAAATTATTGTAAACGAGGTTTTTTTTTACTCTCGAAAAATTTGAGATTAGATAAAATCATAAGTACCTAGGTACGTAGGCATGTTAGGAGTACCCATTTAGTACGCGCATGGTTTGGACCACTTGAAAATTATTTTATTTATTTTATTGTATTATTGTATTTGATGTAAATTGTGGGAAATGTGTACCTGTTAACCTGTTTTTCAGATAGATAAAATGTCTTAAATGGTATTTTGTAATCTGTAAACATTGCGTAATGGATAAATTTATAAATTTTGTCTCGTCTATGTATAAAACTCTAACGTTTAAAGGTTTTAAAGTAGTATTTTTCTTGGCCATTTTGCAGGTTTCAATTTTCATTAATAAAAAAATAAAAAAATAGAAAACTAGGAACCGCATTACCTATATATCTACCAAAAATATTTTCTTGTATTAATCAAATAATTAATTCAGTCTACCACGCAATGATGTAACACGTAACACCCTGTATAGGAAAAAATCTTAAATATATTGTTATGCTAAAACACTATCTTCTGTGTCCCTGGGATGTCTCAGATTCTGTATTTCTCTATAGTTTGGACATTTTATATCTATATTAGTCAAAATAAAATAATTTTTTATTTTACGTGTTATCAATTTTGTAGATTATTTTTTTTATAATCTTTCCAACTTGAATATCATTATTTTAAAACGAATAATACAGACTTTTACTAATAGATGACGCTAAATACGATTAAAATTAAATAAAACGTTGTTTATAGTTTCGGACAGGTACCGTAGATGGCGCGCTCTGTATGTTGTTCTATATTAAATATTAGATGTACCAATTCACAATTTGATTTTTTTAATTCACAAACTAATTTTAAAATGGAAGAATTATTGAAAAAAAGATGATTATCTAAAGTGAGACTTGATTATAGGTACCTATTCAAAAACTAAGTAGGTACCTAAAATTTTATAAATGATTGACAAAACTCTTTAAGACACCCCAACGTAAACTATCTAGGTCCACAAAAGTTTTTCCCTAAATGATAATCAAACATCGTCTGAAAGTTGAGTTAAATCGCCTATCTGAAATCATCCGACAAATTAAATTTATTATTTTTTGAAATATATACCGAGGGGCCGTGTCCCAGAAGAATTAAAACATTTAACTTTTCAAGATTTCAAGAGGGTAGTGGATGGGTTTCCGGATACATTTGGGAGTTGTCAGGTTTAGATTTATTATAGAAAACAAGGATTAATTTCCTGAAAAACGCCAATTGGGGTTAATATCAATCGAATTTTGTTTATTTAACGCTTTATATTGGGATTGGTTTCTGATTTAGTAAAATTGGAATTATAATTTGTATTTTATCATGTTAAATTAAAATAAACCTAGTTGTATTTCAGGATCTAAAAGACATCAAGAAATACCTGCAAGAAAATCAACTTTATATAATAATAATTATTAGACACACTCTAGTCCGTAATTTTTCTTGCTTAAAAGTAAAATGGCGGCAATTCTTATTGCTAGTAGATCAGCTGTTGTAATTCTTTTTCTAACTGCAGAAAATAAAAACAGACTGAAAATGTATTGTTGTAACTCTGGGGGACAATGGCTGAAATGAGCGCTACCAATTAATGTTTGAAAATTTCTAGATATACTTTTTGGGCAATTATGTGAACTAACTCACTGAAATATGAAATATGAATGTTGTATGTTTTATTTAATTATTAAATGGTATGTTTTCCTGTAATTTCTTATGTATTGGCGAACAGTTACTACTTATTTTTTCGTATAATAAATAAATAAATCTTTACTTGGCTTAAGCTAATAAATACATATATACAATTATTACAGTTTAGAAAATTAAGTTAATTTGTAATTAATTGGTTATATTTCGTGTTAGGCAAACGACTAGTATATAAGTAGGTAAATAAAATGGCAACAGGGCAACAGTTGTTGACCAAAATTAGAAGATATTATGGTGGGATATTAGCCGAACCGAATGTTAGTCACGAAGCCAGAGGGCATAGCGATAGCTTTTAGTAATTGTTTATTGATTGGATATTGCAGTTACCACATGTTGGCTCTGAAAGCATGGCTATGCCTAATACAATAAGTACTGTAGTTCATTAACTAAATTAGTGTGCCTGTTTAGTTATATAAGTTGTGGAACTTTTTGTAATTAATGCATGTAATACACAGGTACAGCATTTTTTCTTGCGGTCAACAGGAATTGCTGCAAGTACAATAATTGAGGATTGTAAAATGGCTCATATAGATAGTTTATTAAATTCAAACTATATACTTACTAAATTTAGAGCCCCGTCTCTTTCTGAATCCATCGAATTATCATCGTGATGGTCAGGGTGATCACTTGCAATACTTTGGTCGTCCCCACTGATATCACCGTTGGCTTCTCCATCTGAAAAAAGAAATAGAAATAATAAAAAAGGTGTCCATTGTCTTATATTATTTTAGAATATTATTAACAAATTATCTGCAATTTCACAAATTACCAATTAAAAATCACTTGCGTACACGAAGTTCAATGCATATAGGGCATAAGATTGAGCCTCGTGGTACTTTAGATGATTAATTTTGTAGTGATGTTATTCAGTGCGTGATGTAAATCCGTTACATTAGTGATGTAATTCAATTTTTTTAAATTGTTTGCAGGTCGTAAAAAAGTAATTTAAAAGCATTTAACCAAATTATAAAAGGTCAAAACTATATAATCTAGTTATCCAAAAATTAAATAAGTCTACTGTTATTTGTCAGCCAAACACAAATTTACCTTATCACTAATATAGCGTTTGTTGTATGGTGTGTTATTACACTTCCCTCTTCGCTGGACATATGACGTCATGTTTGGGAGCAGATTTGGGTAATAGTGTTTGTTGAAGGTCTCAATTCAATATAAATTTGGTATATTGCTATTCTTAGCTATTGTACTTAGATACAAAAAATCGAACCGTTTGTAATTTTAATTTTCCTATTGGTAGTAGATGCAAGAAAAAACATTAAAAATCAATAAAACAAAAATAACAAGTCATTTTATTTGGTTATATTAGAGTATTTGCAAACTGAGGGAAATGACCCAGATGACAGCTTGCATATGTCTAGGCATGAATTGGATGAAGATCCTAATGTCTTCCTGATGGATTTTTTCCCGCAGCAACCCCTACCGAGTTGTTTGGTTGGGGAACGATAAGTTCAAACAGTTCTTACGTGTAATCTCGGCCTCATTTAAATAAGCTCTATATATTATGCTAGCACGCTGTGGGTTCGAGTTATCTTCTATAAACAAAACACAAAATCAGGCCCTACAAATGTTGCAAAATGCAAAAGGAATCATATGATTATCCAGAATCGTGACTATGTACCTTGCTGCAGTCATATTATTAATATTGATTACCTTCATATCCCGCCAATCATTCCGTACTAGCATTACAACTTATACAATAACCAGACTAGCCTCCATAGTACACGGTTCCTGATTCGTTCTACAATATTTCACTGTGCAAATCGTTTTTCCTGCCTTCTTCATACTCTTTCCTGGTTTCTGGTTCTCTCAGGCAAAATCTGGATTCATTAATTTTTTGAAAAATATATAAATTATACGCCAAGCCTGCCAATTTATGAAAAATATATAAGCAGTTTCTTAAAAATTACTTTTTTATGGTGGTGCTATTAAGCGTACTACTATTTCGCCCCTAGCCACAAAAACACCTTCATCAAATTTACTGGCTCTCTGTCGCAACCCCATAGAATAATTAACCGGCCATTTTATTTGGCAAAAATCAAAATAATGCTTGGCTGTGCCTGTCAAGTATAAAGATGTCAACTGTGATATGTGAATGGCTCTTAAATGTCAAATTATTTAAAAATGTATACTTCTTTTGATATTTATTGCAAATAATTTCCATAAATTTCCATAAATAAAGGTACAGCAAGACAGATAATATAATGTTCTTATACAAATAACTTTTTTTATTATATAAAAGAGAGTTAGGATATAATGCCCATTTCAAATTTGGATCAATTATGATACCGAGGTATTTTGTTGTGTTTTTCATTTTAATAATAAAGTTGTCATTTACTTGTATGTTGAAAAAAGGCCTTTGTACATTACATTGCGCTCTATGGATCTACTTTATCACAATAATAGTTTTGTGGCTATAAGTTGCTAAAACCTATCGTAGCAAAACTATTAATAATTTAAACATAGTAAGTAGTATTAATATAACATCAAGTAATTTTTTAAAATAGAGTACATGATATCTAAACAAATAATAACAATAAATTAAGGGAAATACTTAAAAAGGGCAGGTTTAAAGAGTATTATCACAAGAAAGTATATCCGTTCTGTTTATTTATCAAGTATTGTTTGAGGTTACTTTTGAATACATTTATTGTTGTTGTATAATTCTGAACTGAAAGCCAATTTATTTCTTTTAACATAGTTGCAATACTCATCCTTCTGTCCTTTATTAATGGAATATAAATATGCGAAGTAAGGAGCCCAAATATTTTACATGAGTAGGCTTAAGAGGTAAAAGGGCTAATTATTATTGGATAAATTGCTCAAACAAGTTTTTAAACCCTAATCAAAAGGCTATATAGAATGGTTTTAAAAATCAAGGCTTGTGAAAATCATCACATGGTTTAACCTAAGTAATGCCAATGCTTCACAAACCAAAAAATTCAACGTCCTAATACTATTATCGGCTTTCGGTAATTCGTTCCAAGTTTTAGAAACAAGGCATCACTTTCAGTCAATGAGAGATTTTTTCAATTTTCTTGGAATTCTATTTAAACTGGAAATTGTACACTTTGAAACTAGGTAAATTTAAGATTTAACGAACTTCAAATTCACATTATTTGCTTCCTAACTGTTGTACACAAACCGAATGAACGAAACTGTGCTTTTTCTGTTACATCTCACGATACAATATTCACACCACGATTCGATGCAAGTTTTTGACAGCGACGTCAGATAGATATAAGTGTTTTAAATATCCTGATCGGCTTGGATCATTATAAGAAGCAAAGGAAAAAAAAACGTAAAAATTCTGAATATATTTATGTATTTGGTCGGCATCAAACGGATCGTCGAATACAATGAGGGATAATTATTTGTCGAAAAAAGTAGTACATAAATATATTAAGGCAGAGCGTCCTTCGCTGTTAGTTCTCGAGCGGCATTTCTCAGTTTTTATAGAATCGAACTGGGCAACAAGCAGTGAATATCAAATAGGAGAGTATTCAGATAGGCCTGACTGACTTCCCTTGCCGAATGCCATTCAAATAGCCAGAGTGCCTCCGTTAGTGCGGGAGATTCTCGTCATCTTTACTGCTTCACCCAAATTTGATGTAATTTATAATGTTTATACCACTAATATTACCATTACAAAAACAAAAACTACAAATTTGGTGTTTTCCTATATACATGGGTGCCGCTTTTTTCAGGGGGGTACAAAAGTACATATTTGTGAACCTAACCTTAAATAAATATTGTTTCAGCTTATTTTTATTGGTTGAAATAATTTGTTATTTTAAAATTAAGTATATCTTTTTGTGCGAAATTGGCGCCCCTCTTCCCCCTAAGAACAACAAAATTTGGTTGCTCTACCACAACTTCTACAGTCTCTCAAGTGTTGAATTTTAGTCTTTTGCTATTTACCAAACAACAATTGCTTGAATTCGCAACAATTTTTTTTCCAAAAACAGATGGGCCTAACTGGTTCTTTTTCTATACATTTATTGTTACTGGTTATAGGCGACTACATTAAAATTTTATTTTTTATTCTTTAAACTGGGATACTTAACTAAGATCATCCCATTAAAGCATGTCTTTTGGACTATAAACTGAGCACATAATTTTTGCATGTTTTACTACACTCTACTCAGTAATTATACATGTTCAAAAGATTTAATCTTCCTTTTAGGCTTGTATTATTTAGGATCTTGTATCTTGTATGATCTAGGATTTTTTGTTATCTAGGTTCTTGTATTATCTAAAATCTTGTATTATCTAGAATCTTGTAATATCTAGGATCTTGTATTATCTAGGATCTTGTATTATCTAGGATCTTGTATTATCTATGATCTTGTATTACCTAGAATCTTATATTATCTAGGATCTTGTATTATCTAGGATCTTATTTTATCTAGTATCTTGTATTATCTTGGATCTCGATAATATCGTGGGCGGCTTCTTCGTGCTTTCCTGCAAATCTCCTGATATCTTCTTTGATCGTCGGTATCTTCAAGGATTGTATTATCTAGGATGTGTAGGACCTCGGTATTGCCTTGAACGTGAATTCTTTCTTAATGCTTTCCTGCAATTTTCTCGTAATCTTCATCTGTTAAAATAGCTGTATCGTCAGCCGAATTAGCGATCGTCATATGTTTGGTTTATAGTGTATTACAAGTGTACAACAGGTAAAGCACTGGGTCTAGCATGCTACCTTTTGGTATACCTGCTTTAATATCTTTTATTGTAACTTGCTGTCTAACTTGGATTACTCTTTATTGTTGTGATATCATTTTCCTCAATTTGTCACTTAGTCCTTCATGCCAAACTTAATCAAAAATAAAAAATATTGCTGCATATTTGCTTTACTCATAATCTATTTCAAATATGTCTGTTATGCGGGGAATTTTGTCTCCCGTTGTATGCTTGTTCCTAAACCCAAACTAATTAGTAAACATCTTCTTTACTGCCGTTTTTAAACAGTTTCTTTAATTTGATTCATTTTATACAATTTGGGGTGGCATAAAAAAATAATCGTAATTTTGATCGGAAACCAGTTTAACGCCCCACACTAAACAATTCCATCACCCTAAAAATATGTAAACTGGGGTTTGATTTTTAACTCATAGAAACGTGATCCACCTACCAAAACGCTTTCGTCCAAATCATTCTCTACAGAAGAAGAAAAAAAGTTTGCTAGCACCTGACCGCCGCGAAATCTGAATAAATCCGACAAAAATCTACAAAATATTCAGATTCCTGTCGGATATGTACTTTGAATAACAAAACGCAGATAAAGCTGGAAAATTCACTGGAAACACATTAGGGGAAAGCTCTGCCGATATGATACGAGATCCTTCTACGGAGGATTTCGAGAAACACTGCGAATGACGTCGTCAGAATTTTGAACAGAAAGATTTTTTTGTTCGAGTTTTTACAACATGGAAAGATATTCTAGAACAGCCTAAAAATCCATTCTAACAAATAAAGCCGCTTCAAAAATGAAATAACTACGTCAAAAAATATACTTGTAGAATGTTTATATTTTAGAATTTCTATGCACACTGTATTATTATACTTAGTCATACGATCAAAGCACAAAAATGAGAAATAAGAGAATTTAGAACAGATAAAGAGATCAAATAAAAAAAACTTGAAAAATACTA